CTACTACCACCTCCCCCCCCCCCCGCCCCTTTCGGAATGTGGCCCTGTGAACATGGGCGGAGGACACAGGAGGAGCAGGGGCAGCTGCGCAGCCGGAGAGAAGTGGCGGTTTCCCCTTCAAAGCGCTGCTTTTCTCCGGCCGGCTGCGCAGCCGCCCAGTGCTCCTGCCGCCTGCACCTCCGCTTGCTCCCCTGCCCAGAGGATTCAGGGGGCCTGGGGCAAAGCGGGGGAGCTGCAGCGCTTGTACTCACCCGGCGGCAGTCCAGGTCTTCAGCGGCATTTCGGCGGCGGCGGGGGGGGCACTTACCCCTCCCCCCCCGGGGTGGCCCTGCCCCTGCCCCATAGTGCAGCCCCTCCCCCGGCCGGGGTTGCTGCCGGCACAATGAGCTGAGGCTGCGGGGGAGGGGGGACAGCAGGGGAGGGGCTGGGGGCTCCGGGGCTGGGCAGGACAGTCCCATGAGCCAGATGTGGCCCGTGGGCTGTAGTTTGCCCACCTCTGTTTTATATATTGTTTTAGCTATATCACATATATTCTCATGTACACACAGTCATATATTTGCATTGCATTCTCCATGACTATCACAGACAACATGAGCATTAACATTCAGGTTTTTGCTGTATTGTTTTCTTTACATTTACTCTGATATTTTAGCAAACACTTCCTTTTCTCATACTAACATTTTTCAAAGTTTCCTTCCCCCTGCTGCACTGATGATCTCCTTGTCTGCTATTGCACAAGTCCAAACTTTAATATGGAAATATTTTATTTTTATATAGCACTTTTGATTCCAGGAGCATAAAATATAGAAACATATATACACATGCATCACTGAAATGCAGCCTTCTCTGGGAAGGAGAGCAGTTAACAATCACACAGTATGCTGGTGTGGAGATAGGGAATTTTGGCCAAGACCTTCTGTGTAAACCTCTGCTCTTTTAAAAAGTGTCAGAGGACCTTTGATATCCAGAAGGAGCAGAAAAGGCCTTGGTTTTTGAGGTCTTATTTTAAAGACCTACTTGCAGCAGGCCTGATTCTCCTGTAAACTGTTACTTCTCTATTGACTTCAGTGGGGGGGTCTACTGAATAAAGCAGCATGAGCTAAAAGAGCATCAGGCCCAGTACTCAGAGCAGTACACAATTTATCGGCCTGAGATGAGTGAAAGATTGAATTAATCCTGCCAAGCTCTGAACACAAGTGTCGAGGGAATCTAGATATTTCAAACATGATACTTAGCAGTCCAAAGGGATGATTTAGTGGCCTAAGTCTGAAGATGCCAAACATATGCACAGTGCTGAAAACTTTTCTGATGTTCCTATCAAGGGACCAGACCCTCAGTTGTGCATATTGCGAAAGCTGCATTGTTTTCAGTAGACCTATGTCAATTTATACCCATGGAGGAGCTGGATGTTAGGTGTTTGATCTATCCCTCAAATTAACCTTAAATCCAGTCAGTGCATTATTCCACTATATCACTCACAATTCATTTCTGGAACTCTGCGTTCAGATTTGACTTAAATCACAAGTGAAATGAGTTTGGTGGTCTCAGTATAGTCTCCAGTGGACATTTGCCTATGGCTCAGATCTTATCAGAAATCTAGCTCAAGCATGAATACTGGTACACCTCAGAATTGTGATACAATGTAGGTCCTTATAATGGGAAGCTCAAGAATTGAAGCGAGGTTGCTACAAGTCATTAGCAAGGGGCAGTAACAGAACTGTGTAAGGCTGTGTGTCTACACAGAAAGGTTTTACAAGTTATACTGGAATATAATCCCCAATCTGAACATTCTTATACCAGGATAAATGTGTCTACATTGGGGTTTATAGTGCTATAACTATATTGGTTTAGATTCACTCCTTAGGTTATCCCGAAAAAGCTTTCCCACATAGACCAGGCCTAAGAAGTTTACATTGGAGCTGCTGGCACTGGGTCTGACTATAGCATGTACTAACGTTCGCTCCCAGAACAAAGCAGCAATATCATTATTAATCTCTCGATACACTGTGAGACACATCATATCGCCACATGAAGCAGAACGGATGTTATGTGTTGGCAGTGTAACAGAAGTGCTGTGCAGGGTATATATAGCCAGACATGGAGGGTTAATGTTGTGTGATAGAACTGGGTAAATATTTAGGGTCGGATTCTGATGTCACACCAGTTTCCGTGACGTAAATGGGAGATACTTCCACTTTCCACCAGCAGGAGTTCAGAATAAGACCCGGATGCCAAATGACACCTCCATTGATTTCAGCTTATGCTAACTGTGGATCAGTCCCCTAATGCCTTGCAGTCCCGACAGCTCCCATGTCCTCTATAACATGGCTTGTCTGGCCGAGCACTCATTTCACAGCAAGCTGGGGTGTAAATCTACCTCGCACTAGCCTGCCCTGTTACTAACTGTCCATGCGGACCATGGTATCACACACTGGACATTTCCTAGTGCACATTCACCTACTCCCATTTCAAAGCGGGGTAGATCAAAGTGCACTAAGGAACTTTTAGTGTGTGGCAGTAAGGTCCAGGCAGATTGTTAGTGCACAGCAAGCCAGTGCTGTGTAGATTTACACACCAGCTTGTTGTGCTCTAACTGCTTGTCTAGACAAGCACACAGTCTTTTCCCCTTCCCCAAGATAGCAGATTTATACTATTTTCTCCCAAAGGCAAGGCTCATAAATAACTGTCACACTGTATAGCCATTCTAAATGGAATTTATACACTCCAATGTATTTGGGGGAATTTGTTTAGTAAGGGGGTTTTTATTACGCTATCTTTACATGTCATCATAGTAACAGCTGTTACATTATATTTATTGTTTCATCTCAGCAAAAGTATTGGAATAACCAAAGAAAGATCAGGCTACATTATTTTCTTATGAGAATTGATGCAAGGATGGCACTACTGCTAAAGATGCTGTCTTCTGGATGAAATGTTTAACCGGGGCTCTGAGCACTCATGTACGTGACATACCCCAAGGAAATTTTCACAGGAATTAGGCTATTAGCCCCACTCTCTTGGCACATTCCAGATCAACTAACTACACTCCACCCACCTAAAATTCCCCCAGCTTTTTTTCACTTCCCTAACTGTTGTGTAGCGCTGCTGTGCACTATTAACTGCCATGTTCCACCCCAGAGATGATTGCATTGCAGTGGTGAGTGAAATGATTCCCATATATGCAGGATTGACTATGAGAAGCTATTTCAGAGCTTTGTGGATGAAAGGGGCTGTGGGAATAGAGGACTGCCGTGGTACAATTAATCATTTCCTTCAGTTCCAGGGCCTGAGGGACAGATTGCCAGTTGCATTTTTCTCTCAGTATAAATCCAAAGTTCTGAAGTGCGGTTTGAACGTGTCAGCCCGAGATGTCACCAATTACTTTTACTTGAGCCCCGGGACCTATGTTGTTGTTCCAGCCACATCAGAAGAAGGCCAAGAGGCTGAATTCCTCCTACGAATCTTTCTGAGGTGCCAAGACTCCAATGAGTAAGATCATTATACATACTGTTTATATGTACCTTTTTTCCAGCTTCCAGGGTTGTCTCTGAACATCTAAGACCAGGGCCATTAATGTGGTGTTTTATTTTAATGTTTTGTGGAAGCTTATTGCAAAGAGAGAGGTTAGTGACAAGGAGTGTATTGGCAGGGATGCTAGGAGTTCAGACTGGGCACACAGATGGGTACGCAGGAATTGCCATAGCTGAACAGAGGAAGGGTCTATTTAGGAGCATCTAGTCCAGTAATGATTCCAGAACAGAGTATCCCCTATGGAGCACCAAACGGAGCAATACTATGCTATGCATGTGTGGGAGACTTCCCTCCAGCTTGGGATGGACACCTGCTCTAAGAAACGAAGGCTGATGGCTTGTACTAGTAGTTCTTTAATATTTATATTGCTGGCGCACCAATAGGCCCCAGTCAGGATCAGGTCTCCATTGCATTAGGTGTATGCAAAGACACAGTGCCTAGCCCAAGGAGTTTACAATCCAAGTGCCTGATGTCTGATCCATGTGGGTGGACTTGTTGCATAGATCCATTAATTTCAATGGGGCTCCACACAGATGTACGGATCCACCCACAAGGATAAGATTGTAGGTTTGGGGGCACAGGGTGTAAGTTTTATCCTAGTCAGCATAAATGCAGATGTTTTCATAGAAATGGCTAGTCTTCATAAAAAAAAATCTAAGCCACAGCATTCACCCTTGACAAAATTGCCGTAGGTAATATTGCACAGTGGCATTGCCTTGGTATTTTCAATCTACCCTGTAGTGGGGTTCCACGACTTTTACATAGCATGGCTCACGTCTTAATTAATGAGATTGTCCTGTGGACACATCTTCTCTCATTTGTCATTGCAAAGCATCCCCAAGCCAGCTACAGCAATTGCTTCTTTCTGGAACAGCTAGCTTGACTTCACTGGGACTGTTCATGTGAATAACTGCCCATCCCTGTGAGTAAGGGAATCACAGTCGGGGCCAATGTATTTTGAGCTTCTTCCAGTGAGCGGGATTCTGCCACTCTTACTCGGGTTCAGTAGTAACGTCCTCCACACACAGTCTCATTCAAATCCTGGGAGTACAGTAGTAATAGTACCTAGCTCTTATATAGCACTTTCCAGCAGTAGCTCTCAAAGTGCTTCACAATCTTTATCCTTGCAATGCCCCTGCAAGGTAGGGCAGTGCTATTATCCCCATGTTACATGGGGGAACTAAGGCACAGGGAGGCTGAGTGACTTCCCCGCAGTCACACAGAAACTCTGTGGCAGAGCACGGGATTGCACCCAGGTCTGCTGTGTCCTTGGCTAGTGCCCTAACCATTGGGCCATCCTTTCTCTACCTGCGTAGTAAGTTACTACTCATGGACAGTAAGGGTAGCAGCTGGAAAAGTGGAGGAGCAGCTATCATCATTTGACCAGGTAGCTAGCCCTAGAAGCCACTGGGACCCCATTCTGGGAACTGCTGCCCTATAACAAGCATAGGGTTTCATAGGGAATGCTGCAAAGCCTGAGGTGAGCTTGTTCCTTCATCTAAGGCAAAACTGGAATGTTAGGAGTTGCAACTGTATTTGCCTCAGTAACATCCTGTGGCAGTGAGGTCCACAGGTTAATTTTATGTTGGCTATAAATGTGTGCTCTGTTTTAAATTTGCCTTTAAATGTCCTCAGGTATCCTTTCGCCTTTTTATTAATGTCCATCTTGTATTCACGTGCTAAAGGAAAATTAGAGACATTTCATAATGTTACAGCTCAGGTTAAGGTAACCAGGAGATTTTGCTCATGTAAGAGCTGACTGTAGAGATGGAGCCCCTAGTGTCTCCTGGTGGTGAAAGCGCTGCCAAACTAGTCCTGCTGTTGCACACACTGCCCTGGGATTTTCCTCTCCCCTACAGTGGTGTAACTCAAGAACGATTCCAGAGAAGTCAGTGAACTTTGAAACAGTTTGAAACCAATGCGAGCAGAGAATCAGGCCCCCTGTGCTTACTAATGCAGCAGGGATGATTAGACAGAGTTCAAAGGCCTGATTCTGAACCAAAACACCTGAAAAGTGTCAGCACAATCACAGGGGGATTGGGATTCACAAGCATTCTTAGAGTTTTCTGTCTCTGTCTGTCTCTCTCTCTCTCTCTCTCTCTCTCACACACACACACACCTCCCTCTGCAATTAAATGCTAGATGGCTGCCTTTTTCTGATGTGACTCTTATGGTGTTTTTTAGGGACCTGAAAAGCAGCCTCAGCCCAGTGATGCCAAAGGTAGGAACATGTGAAAAATGACTTAGATACTGGAGGTGTGTGATCAACATTATGGATCTCCTGGCACCAGCCACTAACCAGTCTCTTTGCTGCAACCCTCCTCTCCCCACCCCACCCTGGCTGTTGCTTTCTCTTCTGCCACCTGCCTCACATCAGAAAATAGCATCTTGCCTCTATATAAATCCATGGTACACCCACATCTTGAATACTGTGTGCAGATGTGGTTGCCCCATCTTAAAAAACATATATTGGAATTGGATAAGGTTCAGTAAAGGGCAACAGAAAATGATTAGGGGTATGGAACGGCTTCCGTATGAGGAGAGATTAAAAAGACTGGGTCTTTTCAGCTTGGAAAAGAGATGACTAAGGGGGAATATGATAGAGGTCTATAAAATCATGAACTGGTGTGGAGAAGGTAAATAAGGAAGTGTTATTTACTCCTTCTCATAACACAAGAACTAGGGGTCACCAAATTAAATGAATAGGCAGCAGGTTTAAAACAAACAAAAGGAAGTATTTTTTCATACAATGCACAGTCAACCTGTGGAACTTCTTGCCTGAGGAGGTTGTGAAGGCCAAAACTATAACAGGGTTCAAAAAAGAACTAGATAAGTTCATGGAGGATAGATCCATCAATGGCTATTAGCCAGGATGGACAGGGATGATTTCCCTAGCCTCTGTTCGACAGAAGCTGGGAATGGGCGACAGGGCGACACTTGATGATTACCTGTTCTGTTCATTCCCTCTGGGGCACCTGGCATTGAGCACTGTCAGAAGACAGGATATTGGGCTAGATGGACCTTTGGTCGGACCAATGGTGGTGGTCGGCTGTTCTTATGTCTCTGGGCACAGCTCTGCCACCTTTGTACTGAGCTATGAGAGGGAGTACTCACAGAATAAGTAACTTGTCTATGTGAGGGACGGTTTCAGAATCAAGCCCTTAATCTTTAATTTGCATTTTTCAGATGCATTTTCATCAAGTAAATCACTGTCAGCAGTAGAGCTGAGTTAAATTTTAGGGTCGCCTGAAACTATTTGTGAATTCCAATCAAATTCAATAACTAGTTTTGGACAACAAAGGGGAAGGAAGATTGAAAAAGTTGAAATGGTGTAGCTTTCCATTTGGAAATGTAGCTAGATTTTTTTTTTATTTTTTTTTTTACAAAAATTAAAAGGTAAAAATCACATGAAAAGTAAATGTAACCTGTCATTCGACTAGAAACAAAATTTTTGTGTTTTCATTTTAGTGAGAAAAAACAAAATATTTCCACAACAATTTTTCATCTGATTCATTTTAGTTGGGCCACCAAACTCAATAATCACTCATTCATTCCACTCTAGACATTAGCACTGTCACATTCCCCAGCATGGCATTCTCTCCCCTTTCCACATAGGGATTCATCCATCTAATATAAGGCAGGGATCTGCGGAAAGCGGATTGTCAGACTGGGTGACACAATTGGTCTTTGCAAGAGTCTAGGCCTGATTCTGAATTCTCTGGTTTGTACTAGTGTAACCCCATAGAAGTCAATGGAATTACACTTCTTAAACTAGCAGGAGCTCAGAATCAGGCCCAGATAATTACAGCCCAAGCACAGTATAACTGTCAGTCCAGCTGCAGAATTCTCTCTCTGTGAGCTATGACTCACCTGTCCTGGTGCATTCAACAATACAGTCCTCTTGTACTTTGGCGGTTGGGTTGCACCTGATTCTGCTCTCTCACAGTAGTGTAAACCAGGAGTGACTCCTTTGAAGTTAATGGTGTAAGTGAGAGATGCAAGCCATTTCTAGTCATTAATTTTTCCAGTCCGTTATTAAGCCCTGTTATGGAGAGAGAAACCTATTGTTTAGTCTATTATCCAGTTATACTAACAAACTTTCAATTTCCTTAAATAATGTCACTAACCAACAACCTATATTTTGCCATATGTAAGTATAGGGCCCAATCCTGCAAACTTTACACAGGTAGGTGGTCCTTGGTAATCCCATTGGAGTCAGAGGCTACATGTGTGATAGGATTAGGCCCTAAAGTATTAATTCACTGCTGTCTAGGCAATCTTCCTCTCAGGCAGCTCCCATCACTTCTCCCCTCCTCTTCTTGAATTTCTGCACTGACTTCCCATTTCTTCCACTTCCAAAGCTGTCCACAACTCTGTCCCTGTCTATGGGCCAGCTCTTCACGTGGTCTAAAATGGCAGGGAGCCATTGGTTTCACTATAGTGACATCAATTTGCACCCGGTGAGAAACTGGCCCTGATTTCCTCACATTTCCTGTATTCCACCTAAAATTCTCTAATCCTGGCTCCTCCATTTACTTACTTTTTTGGCTTCATGTGGTTCCCTATGCTGAAAACATCTTCCCACTTAAGAGAGGCCAAACTTACCCCCTCTTCTTCAAATCCTCTGAATCTCCCTCCCCCCAAAAAAAATCCCTCATTCTACAAAGTTATAACATCCACACACCACTTCCTGCCTGATCATTATTGTATCTCTTCTTGCCTTTAGACTGCAGGGTCTCTGAGGCAGCACTGTGTGCTTTGTTGTACATACCTTGTCCATTCTAAAGTACAGCTACAGAGCTATGTGAATAATATGGATCTGGCTCTGGCTCCCACGGCTTTTGTCACTAATTTGCACATGTACATGTTTTGCTGTGATCCAGGACATACCCAAGCAGAGTCAAGACAACGCCTCTGAAAACATCTTCCTCAGATATGCTACACAGGTACCCTGAATACAGCCGATTACTGAAAAAATAAAAAGACAAGTGGAGTTGTAAAAGAAAAATCTCCCGTCTTGCTATCAATCCATGTAGAAAAATGTCTTTGGAAATGTGGGCCTATCATTCCTTAAGTGGATACCTTCAAAACAGCATTGATCTGGCTGCCAAAATCCACAGAAAAGTGGGAGAGAGAGCTGGAATAGAATGCACGGCTCACTAGATTAGGGGATGATTGTTTGGGGTTTATTTAAACAAGCAATTAGAAATAATCCTTGGATATTTTTTCCCTCTGATCAGAACTGTTTCCAGCTTGCACTTGCTGCATTTGGAAAGCAGACATCAGTCAGCATTTGAGTAATTGATTCCAGCTCTCTCTGAGCCAAGCTGTGTGTGTTCACAGGAGATGCTCTTAATGGTTTAATAAACTGTTATAAAAGAACTCCTTGACTTAGTCAAGAGAAAAATCACTGCCAAAAGCCTTTACACAATAGACCTCTCACAGTTAATAGTTATATCAATGCATAAAGGTGAAAAATGACACAGTCTGTCACACAGAATGCCCTGGAGGGCCTTGGGGAGCGATAGGGGCAGGGCAGGAAGATTTTACTTGACTCATGTGTCGGGCAGCTGAGAGCTACAGCATCAATGTAGAGCAGGAGACAAGGAGCCCGATTCTCACTAGCTTTCACCAGTGCAAAAATGTACAGTAGTGTAAATGCAGTGTATCTGCTCTTATGCCTCGTGGCCAGAAAAGTGTGTGGGGGGGGGGCGGGGGAGGCGCTAGTGTGCTCCTGCATCAGCTTATCTCTGGCAACAATCCCTGAAGATTGCTGACAGCTGGCACAAGATAAAGCAGACTTCAGGCTGCTCTAACTTATTCCAGGAACCTTACCGGTGCCCAGCCATCCCAGGGACACACAGGTGGCTAAACAATGCCTTTCCCCCACTCTCCTCTGGACCTTCAGACATACGCTGAGCACGGGGTCAGCCAATACAGAGACACTGACTCTTTGGCTCTAGGAATCAGCTTCTCCATAACAAATAATCCACTACCAGTTAAAATAAAAGTAGTCGGGCAGGAAGGATGGTCATGTAGCTAAACCATAGGATAGGGAGTCAGGCGACCTGAGTTCCATTCCTAGCTCAAGCACTGTCTCCTTGTGGGACCTTAACATCTCTTAGTCTTGGGTTTCCCTAAGAGAGTTGTCCATCCGCACAACACTGGGGATGATAGTACTGCTCTGCCTCATAGCAATGATGGGAATGCTTGGGTTAGGGTTCATGGCCAACACAAATTATTGTTCAGGCTGTCTGATTCACACCAGATTTGCAGCTGTGTAACTCTACTGCCATGAGTGGGTTTGCTCTTGATTCGCAATGGTGTAAGCAAGTGGAGAATAAGGAAAGGGGCGAGGGTAAGGAAGCCTGGTGCTTATAAACGCGTGTGCTTTGTTCTGCATTAGGGTTCAGACCTCAATGCCTCACAGCTGCAAAGGCTCCTCAATGAAGTGTTCCTGAAAGGTAAAGCTCTCCGTGAGCCAGTTAATGGTGTTTTCCGACCCTGGATCTAGTGTGAACTAGATGGAGTCGTAGGTCTAACCAACCCTGATGGGCCTAGGAAAATGCTCAGTGGGATTGGTAGCCCTCTGATAATAGAAAAACCTCTCTGGGATTCCCGTTATGCTTAATTTTTATTAAATGCTTAATTTTTATTAAAAAATTAATGTTCACATGAAGGAAGATGTGAAACAGCCCAGCTCCAATCCAGGGCAGCACTTAGCCTTTCCTAGCACATTGAGCATACAGCCAGCAGAGAGGCTGCTGCATCTCAAGCGGCTGAACTTTGGCATGCCCCTGTGCCTCTAAGTGCTCTCTACTAGGACCAGCAGCACCTTTGTTTTTCCAGTCCTGGGTCCCCACACAGCCCTGACCTGCGGAGTGCCCTGCTGGTCCAGGCCTGGATCACCACACAGCTCTGCTTAGGCCGCACACTTGCTTTTTTATGGGATCCAGTCACAGGTCCTCTCCAACCAGACATGCAGCACCCACCTTATCCTAGTCCTTACCTCTCTCACAGCTCTGCCATGTCAGCTCAATGCCCACCTGCAACACTCCCTGGTGGAAGTCTAGTCCTGGCCTTCACCACTCCCCCAGCCTCTCAAATATTGGGTGCAGCATGTGACAGAGACTGAAAAGGAGGGGTCAAACAACAGCAGAGGAGAGAGATCACCAAATTTGTATGGGGCCTAGTTACCTTTGGGTTGCTGCTGAATGACATCCCTCCAAAGGGGTCCATTTGAGAAGTGTGACACACACACACACACACACACACACACACACACACACACACACACACACACACACACACACACACACACACACACACACACACACCACACACCCACCCTACCCCCTACTACCTACCTACGTACG